TTCTCAACCAGCCAGGCTCTCAGCAAGCTTCTCAACCAGCCAGGCTCTCAACCAGCCAGTCCCTCTTGGCCAGCCTCTCAACTGCCCTCTCAAGCAACTAGCCTCTCATTCAGCCCACCTACTAGCTAGCCTCCAGGCAAGCCTCTAATCTAGTCAACCTCTCAGTAACCCTCTAAGCCAGACTTGCAGGCAGGCAGCCTCTCAGCCAGCTTCCCAGGCAACCAGCCTCTCAGGCAGGCAGCCACCCAGACTGCATCTTGACCAGCCTTCCAGCTAAACCTTTGCTCAGCCTCTCATCCAGCCAGCCTGCCAACCATGCTCCAGGCAATCCTCTAATACAGCCAGTTTCTCAGCAAAGCCTCTAAGCCAACCTCTCAACCAGGCAGCCTTTGAGCTAGCCTTTTAGGCAGCCAGCTTGTCAAACAGCCTCCCAACCAGTCTCTCATCCAGGCTTCCATGCATTTAACCTCTTGCCCAGCCTCCCAGATGTCCTCTTGGCCAGCCTCTATGCGCCACGTTGGCCAGCCTCTCATTCAGCCAGCCTGATAGCCAACCTCTCAGCAAGCCTCTAAGACAGCCTCTCAGCCAGGCAGCCTCTCAGCCATCCTCTCAGGCAGCCACCCTCTCAAACAGATTCTTAGAAGTCTCTCAGCCAGCCATCCTCTCAACAGGCCTCTAAACTGGTCTCTCAGCCAGGTAGATTCTCAGCCAGACTTCTGCTCAACCAGTCTCTGGAACAGCCAGACAGCCAGCCTCTCAGCCAGCCTGCCTGCTGGCTTCTTGGTCAGCCTCCTCAGCCAGCCTCCCAAACAGCTTCATGGCCAGCCTCTCAGCAAGACAGTTAGCCAGCCATTGTCTCAGCAAACATCTCAGCCAGCCTCTCAGTCAGGCAGATTCTCAGCCTGCCATTTTCTCAGCCTGCTTCTCAGCCAGGCAGATTCTCAGCCTGCCATTTTCTCAGCCTGCTTCTCAGCCAACCAGCCAACCAGCCTCTCAGCTGGTTTCCCCAGCCAGCCTGTTAAACAGCCTCCCAGACAGCCTCTAGGCCAGACTCCCAGCCTGCTTCTTCCCCAGCCTCCCTTGCAGCTACATCTGGACCAGGCTATGAGTCACTCTCTCAGCCAGCAGGACAGCCAGCTTCTGAGCCCGTCTCTCAGCTGGCCTCTTGACTGGCCTCCTAAGTGGCCTCTATACCAGTGAGTCAGCTAGCCTCTTGGCAAGCCTCCCAGCCGCACCATTGGCTGGCATCTCAGCCAGCCAACCTGCCAGTCAGCACCTCAGCAAGCCTCTAAGCCAGCCTCTCAACCAGGCAGCCTCTCAGCCAGGCAGCCTCTCAGCCAGACACCCAGTCAGACAGACCACTTCTCAGCCAGACAGCCTGCCAGCCAGCCTCACAACAAGCTACTTGGCCTGCCTTTAAGATAGCCAACCAACCAAACTCTCAGCCAGCCAGCCAGCCTGCCAGCTAGCTTCTAAGCAAGTAAACCTCTCAACCCATCTCTCAGCTGGCCTTTAAGTGAGCCTCTCCGCTAGGCAGCCTGTGAGCCAGCCTGTCAAGCAGCCATCCTCTGTAACATACCACCAGGCTCTCGGAAAGCCTCCCAGCCAGCCAACCTCTCAGCAAACCTCTAAGCCAGCCTCTCAGCCAGGCAGAAATGCTGCTAGCCATCCTCTCAGCCATCCTCTTGGCCAGCCTCCAAGATGCCCCCTTGACCGGTGTCTCAGCCAGCTAGCCTGCTTACCAACCCTTCGGCAAGCCTCTCAGCAAACCAGCATCTCAGCGAGCCACTAAGCCAGCCTCTCAACAACGTGGTCTCTGAGCTAGCCTCTCAGGCAGCCAGCCTCTCAACCTCCCAACAATCCTCTCAGCCAGCCAGTATCTCAACAAGCCTCTAACCCAGCCTCTCAGCCAGGTAGATTCTCAGTCACCATTCTCACCTCCATCCTCTTGGCTAACCACAAAGCCTGCACTCAGCCAGACTCCTCAGACGGCCTCTAAAACAACCTCTAAACAGCCTGACGTCCAGCCCCCCAGCCTGCCTCTTCACCAGCCTCCCATGCAGCCATCCTCTGGACCAGCCTATCAGCCAGCCTCTCAACCAACCTCCCAGTGAGCCCCTTGACCAGTGAGCCAGCTGGCCCTTCAACCATCCTTCAAGTCGCCCCCTTGACTTGCCTCAGCCAGCTAGCCTGCTAGTCAGGCTCTCGAAAAGCCAGCAAGCCCCTCAGCAAGCCACTAAGCCAGCTTTTCAGCAAGGAAGTCTCAGAGCCAGCCTCTCAGACAGCCTCCAAGCCAGCCTCTCATAAAGCCTCTAACCCGGTCCCTCAGCCATGCAGATTCAGAGCCAGCCTCCCATCTGTCCTCTCACCCAGGCTTCCAGGTAGCCTCTCACCCAACTTTCCAACCAGCCTCTCGGCAAGCCTCCCAGCTGGACTGTCAGTCAACCTCCCAGGTGTCCTCTAGGCCAGCATCCTGGCCCGGCATTGGCCGACCTCTTGGCCAGTCAACTAACCAACCAGCCAACTTCTTAGCAAGCTTCTCAGCCAGCCAGCCTCTCAACAAGATTCTAGCCCAGACTGTAAGCCAGGCAGCTTCTCAGCCAGTCAACCAGCTGGCCTCTCTGCCGGCCTCCCCAGCCAGTCTCTCAAACAGCCTCGCAGCCAGCCTCCTCTGGACCAGCCTTTCAGCCTACCTCTACACTGGCAAGGCAGCCAGCCTCTCAACCAGCCTCTTAGCCATCTACTCGGCCAGCCACCCAGCAAGTCTCTTGGCCAGACTGCCAGCCTGCCAGCCTATCAGCTAGAAGACCTGTCATGCAGCCTCACAACCAGCGCCTCTACCAGACTCCCAGCAAGCCACACGGCCAGGCTTTAACACAGCTAGTCAGCCAGACTCTCAGCAAGCAAGCCTTTCAGGCAGCTCTCTGCCACCTTCTCAGTCAGCCTCTGGTTGGCCAGCCTCCCAGGTGGCCCCTTGGCCAGTTCCCCAGCCAACCACCCTCCCATCCAGACTTTCTCCCAGGTTCTAAGCCAGCCACACTCTCAGCAAGCCTCTCAGCCTGGCAACCTCACAGCCAGGCTCTCAGCAAGCCATCCACTCAGCCTGCCACTCTGCCTGCCTCCCAGCCAGCTGTTTGGCCATGCAGCCAGTCTTTCATTTAGCCTTCCAGTGAACCTCTCGGCCAGCCGGACTGCCATCCTCTTGGCCAGAATCACAGCTGCCCTTTTTGCCAGCCTCTCAGCCAGCCAGCCTGCCAGCCAGCCTCTCAGTAAGCAAGCCTCTCAGGTAGCCTCTCAACTGACCTTTTGGGCAGCCAGCCTCTCAGCCAGCCAGCCTCTCAGTAAGCCTCTAACTCAGCCAGTCAGTCAGACAGCCTTTGAAACAGTCATCTTCTCACCCAGCCTCTCAAACAGCTTCCCAGCCAGCCTCTCAGTCAATCTCTAAGTCAGCCTCTCAGCCAGGCAGCTTCTGAACAAGCCTCTCAGGCAGCCAGCCTCTCTCATCCAGGCAGATTCTCAGTCAGCCATTCTCTCAACCAGTCGCTAGCCCATTCAGCCAGCCAGCCTGTCACACAGCCTCCTATACAGCCCTCTAGGCCGTCCTCCCAGCCTGCCTCTTTGGAAGCCTCTGATGCAGCCACCCTCTGGACCAGCCTATCAGCCAGCTTCTCAGTCAGCAAGACTGCTAGCCTTTCAGGGAGTCTCCCGGCTGACCTCTCAGCCAGGCTTCCCGCTGGCTTCTCCACTGGCCTCCCAGTTGGC